TGTTAGGGAAGCATAGATGAGGAAGCCAAATAAAGGAGCCGTTCAGCTTTAATGTTTCAAAAGGACCCTGAGTGGGTAGTGCCAAAACACAGCTGCACCATCCGTCAATTTCACGCACATTTTTCGTTTCATAAATAAATTTTAATATCAGGAAGTCTCACAAACCGACTTATAAAACACAAACAAAGTTATGCACTCAATTACTATAGCAAATATAACTTATTTTTGCAGACAATCCCACCAAGTAATTGTGATTTAGGCATTGAAATTGGCATCTTCCCTTTGATCCAAGGGCACTGATGAGAGTGTGGTGTAGTGGTCAACCAGTTGAGGTTATACGCTGCACTACCACAAACCGGGTTCGAGTCCAGCTGGAGGTGAGGATGATACCGGTTGAGGTGGGGTCGAAACTGGAGTCTTCTTCTGACTGGATGGGAATCCCTTTAGGAAAGTGAGGGATGAGGCCTACTCATCTGACCTACTCATCAACTACCAGTACCCTATCACCTCAAACGAAATAGGCTGGACACAAATCCTTTTCACACACACACATACGCACACATGGACGTAAATACCAACGTACTCGAGAAGAAGCGTATGATTTTGCCCGAGGCCAGACCGATCTGGAGCACTCGGTCTCCGTCGAGGTTGGGAAGGAGAACGGATTGACTGTCCGGGCCTAGACAAACGGCACTGGCGGCTGTGGACCAAGGGTCGAAACTGGACGCGATTCCGGTAGATTCGGGCTGTTCCGCGGCTCGACTGGTGGACGGCCTCGGGTCGGGCTTCCCGAAGCACCGCGGACAGCCGTTAGTCGCTAGGCTGTTGGGCTCGGCTCCAGGACAGAGTGGGGAGTGAGGCGATCGGTTTATCCACCGACGAAGATATCGTGCCGATGGCCGATTCGCGGGGTTCGGCCAAGCCGTGACCGGCACCGAGAGAGCCGCCGTGCCCTTCCCCAGCCAGTCGTAGCAGGCTGAGGTCAGACCGGAGAAGTATTGGTTGTCGGTATCTGTTTCGGTGGATACAGAAGAAGAGAAGCAGATTATTATCACTAAATGGCAGACGAGTGAAGAAAATCTCACGTCGGGGGTCAGGACGGCCTGACAAGTTTGGGAAAAACGGTTGGAAATTAAATTTAGCCCAAAATGAAAGTATAAGTGAAAGTAATTGTCAGAGAATCTCTTGACATGTCATCTCTCGGCACGAATCGACTGCGAAGGAAAGTGTGTCATCCTGCCAGAAGACAACGCCACATCTCCTGTTGTCTGTTGTCTGTTGTCGTCTGGTCTCAAATGGGCATTCAGTATGACGCAGTCCTCAAGACAGAAGGACAGGAGAAAATCCTTATCACACCCGCGAATCAAAAGGGTCATATTCAGATTAAGAAGTTTTCGAAACTACCAACATATCCGGAATAAGATGACTTGTACTTGCCCTAGGTCGCATATGGTGATAAAGGGTTAAAGGCTCAGGATACTATTGAATTTCACTCGACCCTTCTTCCCAAAAGATATACTCATCCGAAGTGGACTGAAGTTCTGACATTTTCTCAGTTTTATCAGTCCCTCTCCTCCCCAAAACGATTTGAGTTGATGATTGTATTCGCAAATATAAGTTTAGCCCATCACAGAATGTGATATCCTCATGGTCTGGAATGCGTGATATTCTTGCGAAGTCGCAACATAGTGAGATTCTCTCGTTGAACCACTTGGATTCGGGTTCCTTTGGGGCTATTAACGAGACCCATTCCAGTCGGGATGAAAGTACCTCTTAAGAGGCAAAGCTAAATGAAATGCATATGCATTGTAAGGTCTACTCAAGTAATTGTGAAAAAAGTCAACTATCATTCGTTCATCACCTTATGCGACCTGGGCTGAATAGAGCTCTTATTCAAGTGGATAAGATGAGTTCTCTGACATCTTTTAGACGATTAATACTATCGGATCTGTCCTTAAACTGACAAGAAGACTGTCGAAGAAACTAGTCATAATTTTATGTGATTTGGATTTTTATTTCGAAAGAAGAGTTTGCCTAAAGACATGTGTCACTTTGCAACATCGGAGACCGAATGGGGATCGTCATGGAGAGCAAAAGGTCCGATTTTTTATTCCTGTTCCACCGATATACTTCTGCTTACAGTTGCCGCATTTGATACGATAAACTCCCGAGCAATCAAGTTTGTTCAGCTTCTCGTGTTGCGCCGGCAGACTAGTGAAAAGTGTTTTATTTTCCTTTGTTATCACCTTGATATTCCATTCCCTTAGTTACGGTCGCAATTGATGGCTTAGTTCTGATGAGGGCAGGAGAATCCACTTCTGGTAGTCCTCCTGATTCCTGATCTGATCT